GTGCAAAAATCAAACGTTTTAAAATTTTTTAAATTGATCAGCAGTAATACGAGCTTCCATTTTCGATTTAAAAAAAAAAAAAAAAAAAAAATCTAAATGCAATGTCAACATTATAAACATTATGTTACTTTGTTTAGTATTTAATATACATATTAGGGGAGGATGAGGAGGGGAGGGAAATATTATAATAAAAGATGGTTTCGTACTAAAATCATTATTGATTATTATTTGTCTACCGGTGATTGTTTATAAATAATCTCGAAATGGGGTAGAATCGTCGTGAAATGTTGTTCTCATCTCAAGGGGTAAACGCTCTCGTGATGATCTCGTGAGGTATATGTAGTAGAAAAGGCTCGCGATGTAGGTTTAAAAAGGTTGCTTCCTTTTAAAAATTCAAGGAAAACAAAGCAGGGTAGAGTAGGATTATTTAATAAGCTACTACTACACACTTTTCCAGTGCTGGAAGGTTAGGTTTCAAGTTGTGCAAAGTACAAATCAATGTAATTAAGTATCGTGCGAAGATGGTTAAGGAAATGAGGCAATAAATTAAAGAATCGTTCAAAAAATTAAATAAAAAAAAAAAAAAAAATACGATTCAAGGTGATTCACACCGCTCCGCTACTCTTTTTTTTTTGCATGAGTTTTATACCCCCCCCCCCCAATCAAATAAAATGGAAAATGAAATTTTCAATGGCGATGATTTGTTTTTTTTTTTTTTTTTTAAATGGTAAAAATGAAGAGACATTGAAAAAATACATTGCAGAAAGTCCAAGGGCGAATTCATTTAAAAATGATTGTAATTGATAAATTTAAAAGTTTTAGAATTTTTACGGAAATGGGGAAATGGGGGGGGGTGGTAGAATATAAGGAAAAGTGTAGCAGAAGACAGGAGAGAAAACATTTTAAAATGCCAAAAAAAAAAAATTGGCGTGAATAAGATTCGTCGCTTCTCCATTTTTCTTCTCCATTGTTGTACAAAAACGTGTTATTTAATTTATTATTTATTTATTTATTTATTTTTCGTCTTTAATAGTTAAATCAAAAAGTTGAAGTAATAAATAATTATTAAATAACTTGATTATAAGGATACGGGTAATTATAGTTTGTGGGTATTTTTGTTTTTTTACTCTATGATTTTTTCTCAACGTCGTCGTCGTCGTTCGTCGATTTCTAATAAATCTATTTCCAAACACATTTATTTATTTATTTTTATTATTATTATTATCATTACGCGCGTTGTTTTTTAAAAATTTGTTTCCTTTTTGAAAAAGAAATAATAAATTGATTGATATAAAGGGATTTAATTTATGTATACAAATATTCTTATTTATTTTATTTGTCTTCATTAATTAATTAAATTAAAGGATTTTAAATGTTCTTATAAGGTTTTACGTTTGTGTTTGTTACTATTACAAAAGTGTTTTTTTTTTTTTTTTTTTTTTTTTTTCCATTGGAAAATTCGAGAGAAGTGAATAGTGTTGAATTTAATGCGATGTTCGAAATGATGATGGTGTTAATATACATGTTGTTGTTAATGATGATGATGATGATGATTATAAATTTAAAGATTTTTTTTTTGTGGTTTAATAGTTAAAGTTTGAAAGGAATGATTAACTAAACGTGTTAATTTTTTTTTTTTTTTTTTTAAACAGGATATTTGCTTCAGGGAAATTTTTTTTTTTTTTTTTTTTTTTTTTTTTGCACATTGTTGGAATAATTCGTTTTACATCTTTTTTTAATTAGCGTTTCGTGTGAAATGAGTAATTTTTTTTTTTTTTTTTTTTTTTAAAAGAATGAAAATAAATAATAATAATAATAATAATTAATACTTTTTTTTTTTAAATCTTTACAGACGACGATTTGAAAGAGAGAAAGAGAAAAGGGGAAAAAAAAAATCACAGGATGACTTAACGAGGAAAAATAAATAAAAATTGGGTAGTAGTATCAGTGATGGACTGGAGAGGAAAATTCAAATTTCAAGAGCATCGTTTGCTTCTGTTGTTTTTACTATTTTTCCTGTCGTTTGCCGCCATATTGCCGAGTAAGTAAAATATCTATGTATTTGCACGGGTACAAAAAAAATCGAGAAAATTTCCTCTACGAGTAACGAATTCTTATGATTTCATACTTGTAAGATTCTTTTTATTATTATTATTATTATTATTATTATTATTATTATTATTATTGGTTTTCTTTTTGACACGGGTAGAAAATTTTTTTGCAATGTTTGATTTTTTTTGCTGTTCGTACCTTGAAATCGTTGACGTCGACATGAAATGGCGTAATTAAGATTACGGAACAAAAAAAAAAAGAAAAAAAATCTGTTATTGAATTCCCACGTGATGGAACAATATGTACCAAACTTTTATGTCGAGTCGTTTTTATTTTTTCTTATGATGGATTTTCTTATTTCTAGCTTACACTAACAAAAAAAAAAACACGAAACATAAAACATAAAACATAAAGATTTTTATAAAAATGTGTATTTTATTTCTCATTACGCGGCGAATATATTTATTATATATGCAGATGATTTAAGTAATCGTGTTTTTTAAATATATAATTGTTTTCATCCACATCAATTTTTTTTTAATGGTCAACATGTTTTTTTTTGTGGGAGCGTTAATATTATTATTATTACTTAATAATTTTTTTGTTGTTTGTTTTGTTTTAGAAAAACAAATGATTATTATTAAAAAAAAAAAAAAAGAAAGAAAGAAAGCGTTTGAAAATTTCGCTTGATTTCGCGTTTTTTTTTCTTTCTTTTTCTTTCTTTCTTTTGCTTTTATTTTTTTTTTTTATTTTTTTTTTTTTTACATTTTTATGGTTTCACGTATCGGTTCATTAAATAGCAGCCGATTTCGTTTCGGATCATTTATTATTTTTTCGTATGAAAAAGTGAATGGTAGGAAAAAAAGAAAAAAAAAATTCACTTCGACACCGTCACGAAGACTTTTTTTTTTTTTTTTTTTTTTTTTCGTAACGGTTGATACACTTAATTTCGCTGCTATTTTATTCGGTTTAGAAAAACGAAAAAAATTCGAAACGGAACCGGTTATGTCGAAGGGGAATAGAAAGGATTTTTTAAAATGAAATGTTTTGAAATATTATTATTATTATTATTATTATTATTATTTCGATACAATTAAATTTATGTATTATATATATATTACACGGTTTAGATAGAAAAAAATAATAATTATTATATAAAATGTTGAAACTGTGTCAGTTTGCGTGATATATCGTAGATTTCAATGATTTTTGACGCACGTATATCTGCCATTACACGCTGCCATTTTAAAAGAAAATTGAAAAAAAAAAAAAATAGATTTCGAATGGATTCGAAGGATGGAAACGCGATTATTATTATTATTATTATTATTATTATTATTATTATTATTATTATTATTATTATTATTATTATTATTATTATTATTATTTTACAAGCGAAACTATCTTCTCTTATATATCCGTCACGGTTATTACGTGTTCGCCGCGTAATGTTTCTCCGAAATGACACGTTGAATATTCATTTCATAATTTTTTGTTCTGCTTATTTATTAAATCTCGCCTTCATAATCATCATCATCATCTTCATCATCATCAAATCGTGATTTTTCCTTTTTTCTTTCTTTGATTTTATTTTTTCCACCTCCCCCTTTCTCCCCCCTTTTTCCCTCTTCTGTTTCTCTCGTTTTTATTATCGAATGTATGATTACGCATTGAACTTTTTACACACGATTTATAATATCTCATTACAAACGTTTAATAATAATAATAGTTAGTAGTTGTAAAAAAAAAAAAAAAAAAAAAAAATGGAGGAGAAATGTTTGTAATATAATGTTACTCGTTAATAATAATAATAATAATAATAATAATAATAGTATGAATATTACGTTACAGTAAAGTTGTAAAAGTTTTTTTTGTTTTTTTTTTTTTTGTTTTGCGCGAGCGCGAAGTCAAAATGTAAATAAATTTTAATAATTATTATTATTATTTGTGTCTTTTGAGAGTTTCTCATAAAAACTCATATTTAAACATAATTATTAAATAAAATTTTTATTACGTGAAAAAATAATAATAATAATGGTGGTGGGGGTGTTAAAGTAATAATAATTTTTTTTTTTATTTTATTTTATAAGAATTTAAATTTATGCATTTTCTCGGCGTGGATTAATCATATTTTATTTAATATCATAATACCCCGAGAATAAATGTTTATGAAAAATAGGGGAGGAGAGGGGAGGGGGTAAATTGTGAAGGGTTGACTTTTGGAAAGTTTTATACGTAAAGTCGTCATTCAAATCGAAAATTTTGCGATTGTTATCGATCGAGAGTTTTTCGATATATTTAAATTTTGTTTCGAAACGCTTTAATGTTATTGAATTTGAGTAATTTGTAAAACGGTCGTTTATTTTCTTAAACCTTGAAATAACAAAAAAAAAAAATTTAATAATTTATTTATGTTGTGGCGGTCATTAGGCTAACAACCAAAATTCGTCACATTTTCGTGTAGTTTAAGTTACACGGGGAATCGTATTTTTTGTTAATATTATTATTATTATTATTCGGGAAAGAAAGAGAAAAAAGGTACGATCGTTTACGTTTTGATTTGTTAAAACGCGAAAAAAAGAGAGAGAGAGAGGGAGAGAAACAAAAAAGTAATGGAAAAAAGTAAAAATGAAAGGATGGATGATAAAATAATAGTAATAATAATAATAATGATAATAATAATAATAAGAGGGGAGACAATTTTTTTAAAATGGGAGAAAATGAGTGAATTGAATTAAATTACCCTGGTAATTGGTAAATTGTTTATGTGAAACGTTATCAAGATAATGATATCCATACGGTAATTGTACAAAGCCTGGTCATTAAGTTTCGTAATTGATAGGCTCGCTCTCTTTACCCTTTCTTTCTTTCTTTTTTGTGGCACTACAATTTTCATTTCCCTTTCGGTTTAAAAACAGAACGGTTGTAACAGTAGCAAGTAATCATTTATGGAAAAAGGTTGAGGAAAATTTTGAAATGATTTAATTTTATTGTAAGTTTCTGGGGGGGGGGAGGGTGTAAAGAAAAGAAGAAAAGGTGTGGATAATTTTACTTATTATTAATAGATTTCAATTGAGGTTTTGGTGGTACGCTTTGGGTTGGGGGTGAACCATCATCAAATTTAACGCGCAAGAGATTATCGAAAGAATAAAATAAAAAAAAGTAATGTATTAATCGATGTATCGATCGATCTATCGAAAGAACACAAAAACACAATAACAATTCAGTCATTTCGATATCAATTAAATACATTAAATTGTCTGGAATTGATTTTATATGTATAAAATCTGACGTCATATTTCAAAAAAAAAAAAAAATTTTTTTTCATCGCTTATTCCTTTTTTTTGATTTTTAAGATTAGGCGTTTTCTTTTTAAACGTGGATTTCAATTTAAAATACGCATAATAATCATGACTAATTTGTTTTTATCGTATTGTACCTTTCAGGTTGTGTCGGATGCAAAGCGGATTTTTGTAGCAGTCAGTATACGGAATCGCTCGATAGGGAAAAAATCGATCGACCCGAACCGACCGAGGCATCCTGTAAAATCCTTAGAAATTTTGGAAAATGCCTGAGAATGACGGCAAAAGAATGTCACGGAAATATTCCCTATCACAGTTCGATAGTCATGGTGAAACAATTGTCGAAAGAAAACAATTGCGAAGCTTTGATAGGACCGGAAAAAACTTTACCCTCTCCCCCCTTGCTTAGACCCAGCATCATACCAAAATTACCGGTGAACACGGTACCCGTTTCCGTCGTCACTCAACGCTCTTGCACATTTCTGGGAAAGAACAAGTTTCGATATTGCGGACTTTTCGGGGATCCACATTTGAAAACGTTTCACTCAAAGTATCAAACGTGCAAGCTCAAGGGTGCTTGGCCTCTAATAGACAATCCTTATTTGGCCGTGTCCGTTACCAATGAACCAGTTATTGAAAATTCACCCGCGACGGTTACGACGAAGGTAAGATATTCCATTTTTTAAATATTTTTTTTTTTTTATTAAAAAAAAGTTTCGAAGAATACGTCATAAATAATTATTATTATCGATACATTTATACGTATTTATGTATCCATGTGCGCACATATGTTTATTATTATTATTATTAAACATAAAATTCCAATACACAATAAGGTTTAAATTTGGTATTGTGTTCTCAATCTTAACAATAATAATAATAATAATAATAAAAATGTATTCTTCGATTTCGAGACCATTGTGTGTTTGTGTGTGTTGGTGCCCCTCCCTGCCCTTCCTCATCTTCTTCTTCCCACAACGATATAAAAAATTATTTTAAACATTGAAATGTATTGAAAAGAAAATTTTTTGTTTTCGTTTTGAACAGGTGTGAATGTCAGGTAAAAATTTCACAGATGAATGTTGTTGGTTCCTTCACTCTGGTTTTTTTTTTCTATTTAAGTGATCAAGCGTTCCGACTGTGTGAGAGAGAGAGAGAGAAAAAAAAGGCAAACAATCGTTTCGTTATTTTTATACTAATAAAGCATTAATCCTTGAAATATTAAACAACATGCATAATTGGAGAAGTTGTTGAACGTCACGTATAAAAGTGTGTGCGCGAACTAACCTGGATTCGATACCCGGAATCAAAGATTTAATTGTGGAAAAAAAAAAAAGAAAAAAATGTCATATTATATTCGGTTTGATGAGAGTAAGAGAGAGAGAGAGAGAGAAAAGAGACAAATTCGAACGCAGACGAAATTCAATTCAGGTCAATGGGAACGAGAGACATCTTTTTGGCGTGTGCATCTCGAATTGGCCCGCGCCCCAGACTGTCCCTCGTGCCAAACAAAACGAACAAGGTTAATTCGAACGGTGTAAAAAAAATCCCTACGTACGTACGTACGTACAAGCCGAAGCGTTCTAGACGACCTCCAAAAATTTATTATTATTATTATTATTATTATTATTATTATTACTTTTTCCCTTTATTTTTTATTGGCGTATGTCAAAACAATGCAGTATAATTTGACACCGGTTACAAAAAAAAAAACGTTAAAATTTAAAACTTTTTTTTTAAAAAAAAAAAAATGTCACAAAATTGGATAATAACAGACGAGGCGGTTTAATTTAGGGTTGCGCTCATATTTTATTACAGGTATTCTTAAACGGAAGTGAACGTGGAAGAAGATGGTTTGACCGAATCATTGTGAACTCGATTTTTTTAACTTTCAGGTTTTGAAATAATGTTTTATAATTCTTTTCTCTCTCTCTCTCTCTCTCTCTCTCTCTCTCTCTCTCTCTCTTCCCCTCTCTGTCTAATCATTGTACTTTATTTGGTCTTGTAATCGCGTTAAATTTAAAATGTCAGAGAATATTACAAGACTCGTAGTCTTGAAATATAATAAAAAAAAAATAATAATAATAAAAAGGCTTTATTATTATTATTATTATTATTATTCGTTATAAAACGTTCGTTCGTTCGTTCGTAACAATGCGTGTATTTCTTGTAACATTCAAACAATTCACATTTAGATGATGATAATAATAATATAATCACGGTGAAATAAGAAAAAAAAAATTCATTCAGTCATTGATTATTATTATTATTATTTGTTCGTTTATTGATGGAATGATTGGGTCCGAGTGTGTGTGCGCGTGCGCGTGCGCGTTTCTTGCTTAACGTCAGTTATTATTGTATTTGTAAACCTTAAAAGGAACCATCGGTATTTTATAAATGTTAAAAACCTGGCAACCTGATTTCTGGCAACAATTACACGCGAGGTTTTTTTCCTATTTATTATTTTGAATTTGTAAGTGGAAAAAGAATTAATAATTTTTTATCTCCGCCCCCCCTCCACCCCCTTGCCCCGCGATCCTGAAGAATTCTTTGTCCAATGATGACACAAAAAGAAAATAATACGAATATTTATTGTCCTTGAGATGAGTTAGTTCCAAGCTTTATCTTTTTTTTGTCATAAGTTATACGTGGAATATAATACGAAAATGAGCCTTCCCTGTTGGATTCCACTCCTAAGACGTGAAAAAAAAAAGAAAGAAAGAAAGAGAATAAATAAATAAGAAGAACCGGAATTTGAACCTGAATGGCGGATGGTGTGAAAATAGAACCCTCATCATTCATCTGTCATGCTTATTGTCTGTGCTACGCCTCGAGGTTCAGTGCCGTCTTCGGATTTTTTTTCTTTTTTTTTTTTTCGTCACTTTGTCAGATTAGCTCGTGGGGGGAAAATTAAATAATTTCCAAGAGTCTTTTTCCATTTAAGGCAGTCGTTTATTTCTAGGTTTGATTCAGGTGCGTTTTAAGACGGTTCTGATAAACATTATTATTATTATTATATACAATCGTCCGCGCTTTATTTCGTGTGTGTTCGATATTGAATTTTTTTCATTACGTAAAACGATTGAGTGTGGGTAATACGGGTGAGGGGGTGGGGTGAGGTGGGGGGTGGAAAAGAATTATAAACTTAGGAAACCTTAAAATAAGTAAAACGACACACGTTTTAATCTCTTTTTTTTTTTTTTTTTTTAAATTACGAGTTCACGAGTTTCTATTGAATAATAATGATAGAAATACAATAAAAATTTCCAGCAAAATTTTCCAGCAACGATGATTTATATCACGTCCGTGTTATTATAATAACGCTTTCGCCGACTGGAAATTAATAAGTTTTTTATCATTTAGGTGTGTTTTATATGCTTTTTTTTTTTTAACAATAAGTTTTATAGGTTTTTTTTTAAAGTCATAAAAATTATTATTTCCGAAGAAGAATAAATCGATAAGAAAGAAAATAATAAAATAAAAAATAATAATAATAATAAAAATTAGAATATTTAAGAAAAAGGATTTGAACTTATCGACCCGTTTGAATTAAAGTGTGGTGGTGGTGGCACTACTACTAATACCTAAAACAGACACAACAACAACAACAACAACAACAAAAAACTAGTTACGCGTTAATTAAAATAATATACCATAAAAAAATAATAAGGTTGTAAGAGTGGTTTGATACGATATACAACCAGTCGAGCGATGAAGAGAAAGAAAGAAAGAAAGATGGAGGAAAGGAAAGGGAAGGGAAGGGAAGGGGGAAAGAAAAAATGGTGAGACTACGATCCTGATAATCAAAAATTTTCATTTAATCTAAAAATCTTTAAAAGTGCAACCAAGGTTTCTTCTTCTTCTTCTACTTCTTCTTCTTCTGCTTTTATATATATATATCATTGTGTGTGTGACCCACCTGCGACTCCTTTCTTCTTCTTCTTCTTTTATTCACAACAAAGGAATCCTTTACGGAGGATCCCCCCCCTTTTCATCTTATAAAATTCTCAGCACGGAACAAAATATACCCGCGCACGTGCACACGCACGTACACAATTGGTTATTTCACTTTTTTAAATTAACACGAATTCATATATTTATATATATATTTTATTATAATATTATTCTTCAAATTTGTTTTGCTACGTCGTATTTAATTTATCATCTTTTTTTCTTCTGCTTCTTCATCTTGTATGGGTTCTCGAAACTATGAATATTATTATTATTATTATTATTATTTTAGGGGAAAGAATTTCCCATAGAGGGTCGTCTGAACCGTTTTTTTTTTTTTTTTAAATTGCTCCTCATGAAATAAAATTGTTATGTGCATATAAAATTTATATATATGTATACAAGATTATGAATACACGCACACACACGCACGCACGCACGCACACACATATTATTTTATAGTTTCCAGTTTTTTTTTTTTTTTTTTTTCCATAAGAAAAGAATTGAAAAAAATTAACCGTGAGATAAATCGAATCTTTTATTTTTTTATCGGATTCACGATTCGAAACACAAAAAAAAAATTATTTTCTTGTCACGATGCTTTTCCCTCCTTCCCCCTCCCCTCCCCTCCTCCCCATTTATTCACGTTTAAACCCGTGTCAAATTTGCAAAACAAAAAAAAAAAAAAAAAAATATTTACTAAAATGATAAATTATAATAATTTTTATTCAGTCGTTGTTGTCCGTTTTTTACCATCATCATCATCATCATCATCATTATTATTATTATTATTATTATTATTTTCAAAGCGTAAATCGGTTAAACGAAATCGTTGTTGTCGAAAACCGAGAGACCTGAAAAGGTGAGAAAATTATCGTTTGTTATTTCTAAAAGGGAAATCATCATCATCATCATTTTTTTTTTTTGTCGTTAATGCTAATTTTAATATTCGGCTAATCGAAAATGGCCGTTTACACACTAATGTCTTTCATTTTTTTATCTTTTATTACCCGCGTTTGGCGTGAACAGGTACTTTCGTGGTTTTAGAAAATCTTTTTTTCTTTAAATCACGTATTTACGAGCCCGACATTTAAGCCCGGTCGATTGATTGATTGATTGATTGATGTGTGAGGTACGAGTGTGGAGAAAAATGAAAATTTAAAATTTTTTTATTACTCTCTCTTTCTTTCTCAGGTGACGGTCATAATCAAGGGAAGAGGTACTTTTTGTACTCAGGAAAAAACGTACGAGGCACAATCGGATCAACCTCTTCAAGCGTCTTTCGTTGATGGAACTCACACGTCCGGACCTAATCAAAGCGTTATGTTAAAATTGGAAGAAATCGATAAGAATCATCAAGTCGTTGAAATTTATTTAAAATATATTGAAACCACCCTTGTTATTAGACAGGTAGGTGTGATATTAATAATAATAAGATTACGTGGGAGAGATAGAGATAGAGGGGGTGAGAGAAGGGAGAGAAAGAAGGAGGAGGAGATTGAAGACCATCGAATAGTGTTGTTGTTGTTGTTGTTGGGCCCGAGGTGAAAAAAAAGGGAGGGAGAGAGAGAAGAAGGAAAACTTGGAATTAAAATTCATTTTTTTTTTTATTTAATAATAATAATAATAATAATAATAATAATAATAATAATAATAATAATAATAATAATAATAATAATAATAATAAAATTCTACGTTCTTTCAAAAGTTCATTCAAAAAACACGAACGAGTTTTTAATTTTTTTTTTTTTTTTTTTTTTGCAATACAGGTGGGTAAATATTTGTCGTTTGCCGCGAGACTTCCGGAAGAAGTTGCTCTCATGGACGGGGAAGATCTTCAACTGTGCACTTCTGGATGTCCCAATTTGGAACAATTAAATTTAGCCGCGGATCACGGGGAAGCCATGTCGTGGGAAGAAGCTTTAAACGTTTGCCAAGATTCCAATGGTCTTAGTAATGAAATTAATAACAAATTAACGGATCATTATTTGGATTGGTAAGTTTTTCGAATACCATTTTTTTTTGCCGCGTATGGTTCTTTTACTACAACAAAAAAAATAAAAAATGTCATAGAGTAAAAACAATTATTTATTTATTTTCTCTCGAAAAAATTCTTGGAACGAAAAAATGACGTAATTTCCGGTTACGTTTTAGGTGTGTTTTCGATGTTATGACGACCGGTGAGGTGGCTTCGTCTGATTTCACGGCCGCCGCCCATTCAGCACAAGCCGACGTTCTCAGGTTCGATCCGGAATCGCTTAAAAACCGGACGACAACCAAACTTCGACCACGTGACGTCAACACAATGGCGACAAATTTAAATGGCGGAAGTGAAAAGTGTTTCGGATTTTTTTTCAGAAGGATATTATTCGCGTTAGTTATAATTGCAATCATAGTGAAATGACATTTTTTTTCCGAAGTGATTTATAATTATTATTTAATATTAATAATAATGATAATACTTTTAAATAATCGATTTACCTCAATAAGAAAAACAAGGAAGAAAGGAAGTAAATAAAATTTTGGTTTTTTCAAAATGGCGACCGATTCAAAACGAAGAAGGATTGTTAATCGAAGAGGGTTTTTTTTTAAGTCTTTCAAACGAAGAGAAAAAAATTAGAAAGACACGAAAGGATGGAGGATGTACACGTGAGTGATTGCTCAACATAAATTAACGAGGAAAAAAAAAAAAATGGCGATTTTCCGGATTCTCGAAAAATAATTATTTTCAAGGAAGGGAAAATTTTCGAAAGATTTTCTCAAGGATGAAAAATCCGGGGAAAAAAATCGATTTAAAAAAATGTGATATTTTCTTTTATTAAGCTTTAATTATTTAGTTGTAAAAAGATGAAGAAAAAGATAGATAGATGGATAGATAGATAGATAGAAAGAAAAAAAAGTTATTATTATTATTATTACATAGTATTCTCTATTAGTTTTATTATTATTTTTTTTTTTTTATTTAAACGTTCTTTTGTTGTTATCATTTTAATTATTATTATTATTTTTATTTATTTTTTTTTAACAATAATCCGAGTTGAAATTTTGTTGTAATCGTTTCTGTTTCTCTCTCTCTCTCTCTCTATCCCCCCCCTCCCTCGATTAATTAAGGTTAATGAAATTTTTTTTAAATTTATTAAACGATCGATATTTTATTTTTATCAATCGATATCACAAATCGATAATTTTATTTATTTTTTAAATTTTATTTTTCTTATGATTTGTTTGTTTTCTCTCTCTCTCTCTCTTTTTATCTTTCTCTCTTCTCTCTTTCTCTTTCTCTCTTTAGGGTTATCCGATTATGATTTATTAAATTAAATTTTATATCTTATCTGATAACGAGTTCGTAATCGTATAAAATAAATAAAAAGAAAAAAATTATTATTATTATTATTATTATTTTATTACGCGTGTATTTTAAATGTTTGTAATTTTATATAAGTATAAATTCAATCAATCAATCAATCAATCAATGAATGGATCGATTAAATTTTATTTATTAACAGTATTTTATAAAAATTTTAAAATAATGAATTGGAATTTGTTTTGTTTTTTTTTTGTTAAATAAAAATGAAATTGAAATTTGAATTTTTTTTTTTAAATGCCGGAAACGATTTAATTATTAATTTTAATAATAATTAATGAATTGATAACACGTTTTATATTTTGCACATTTAAATAATAATAATAATAATAATAATAATGTGTAAAAGTGCCTGATTTTTTTTAAAATGGCCTTAACAAATTTTTCTTTTTTGGTATGTGCCTGTTCACAAGTACTCTCTCTCTCTCTCTCTCTCTCTCTTTCTCTGTACACGCAGTAACGAAAATATTTATCATTATTATTATTATTATTATTATTATTATTTTAAAAATGATAATGACAATTGAAATTTAATTAGTGCTTCGGCATGATTGAAAATTTTTTGTAATGTAATAAAATTAATTTAAAAGAAGGAAAATGAAGGAAAAAATCATTACCAAAGCACTTGTTCCCTGTTTCACATAATAATAATAATTATTATCATATAATTTGACATTGAAAAAAAAAAAAAGTAGAATTATTTATTTTAAATGTATTGTAGAGAATATAAATAAATAAATAAAAATAAATTTTTTTATTTGCAAATTTTGTTGTTGTTATTGTAAAATGTTAACAACTGAATTAATTAATCGAATGAATTTTAGTTGCAAAAGTGGTATTTTCAGGTTTTGATTAAATTCAAAAATTAAATTGAAATTAAATAAATAAATATATTACCTTAAAAGAATAATAATTAATTAATTAATTAATTAATTAATAAAAACAATTAAAAAGTGAATGTTTAAATAATTGTAATAATGATGATGAAATGAAATTTTTTTTGTTCGACAATAAATAATTAATTTTTTTTTTTTTTAAATTTTATGAATTTTTTTTAGTAATTTTGATTTTAATAAATTAATAATAATTATTATATTTAAAACAAATTTATTGAAAATAATAATAATAATAATAATGAAATATATGAAAATTATTAATGGAAATAATTTGGGTTTTTGGATGTGATAGTCGAATATGATTTATTGATTTAAAAATTTAGCAAAATATGATAAAAAATTATTAATTATTATTATTATTACTTTTATTAGGTAATTAATAACTGTTAAAAAATAAAATGCTGGAATACATATATATTTTTTAAAATAGGTATTAAATTAATAAAAAATTAGATTTGATTTAATAAAATAATGTGTCAGTGTCTTATCTATATCTGTGTATTGCTTTTTGTGAAAGTGAATTATTATTATTATTTTTTTTTAATAATGGAATTGTATAAGAGCCAAATAATTTATTAATTAATTAAATATCTGATGGGATGATCTTTTGCTAGAATAAACAAAAAAAAAATAAAAAATATTAATATAATTACTCATGAAGTAATTTTTTTTGAAAATTTTAATTTATTCCTCATCCTTTTCTTCTTCTTGTTTCAATTCATTCCTCTTTCAAAAAAAATGTCAAGTAAAATACTTTTTTAAATAAATTTTCTATTATTTTAAGAGTTAATTAAATAAGGAAATATATATTTTTGTAAAAGAATATTTAAACAATTGGAAAATTATTGCTGAAAATGTATTATTTTTTTTTAAAAAATTAAGGAGGACATCAGTAATACAATACACTGACATACAAGTAATTTAATAATAAAAAAAAAAATTTAGGTAGGATGATTTTGCAATATTTAAAAATCATTAGAATTTAAATAATAACATTTATTTTATTTTAAAAAAGTTTTCATAAATATTAATAATAGTTAACATTTTTAAATTAAGTATTAGGAAAAATAAAAAAAAATTTTTTTTTTCAAGTGTTAAAAAACGTTAAACGTTTTAAACGTCATACAATCGAGTTCGATTAATCGAATCAAATCTAACTACCGCACAGTAATGTGTTGTGTCTCATGTAATTTTACTTTTTAAATTTGCAGTAAGGTTTTTTAATGGAAGAAAATAATTTAAATTTGCCAGAATATGGCTTTAAAGTTAAACTTAATCATAAATTTGCGGAAAAATGGACACAAGATCTGCGTCCCCGATTAAATCAATTTTGGAGTATGATTCCTCTTATCATAAGGTATTAATGTATATGCATATAATTTTCTAAATTGATTTAAGTTTTTTTTTTTTTTTTTTTTTCTGGATAAAAAGGTAAAAGAATGAAATAAAATTTTCCTCTTTCTTCTTTCCATTACAGTTCAGTAACTAGTTTTAGAAAAGTATGGTGATTTCAAATTTTTAAGTCTCATTAAAAACTTTTCAAATTTTTAAACATTTCACTTCAAATATATTTCTTATTGAAAATTTTTTTTGTTAGAATTTTTATAATTTATTATTACCTATTACTTATTCTGCTTTGTAATTATGTTATTTTGTTTTAGGTATTTAATTTACAGCATTTATATTTTGTGCAAGGGTAGGAGGCCTTTGATGGACTACATGAAAAACCTTAATGGAAAACAAATGTATGGTACGATTATTTTTTTATTATTGATTTTTATAAATGTGGTCTCGAATAAAAACATCATTACTGTTCGATTCTAAAATGTATTTGTAGTTTTAGTTTTGAGATAGTATTTTTGAATTTCACTTTCAGGAGTGCCTTTAGGAGGAATCGGTTCAGGGTCAATAGGTAGAGGTTTTAAAGGAGAATTTTGTAGATATCAGCTTAGACCTGGTAATTACGAATATGAAACAATTTATGGAAATCAATTTATCCTTACTGTTAGAGATGGTGAAGGCAATGCTGTTTTTCAAAAAGTATTAAACTGTGGAAGGTAAAGAATTATTTATTATCAATATAAATTATAAAATATTTTATGAAAAATTTCAAAAATTTTTTAATTAATTTTTTTTACTTTAAGAGCTCCTAAATCATGTTTAAAAAATTGGGATTGGACTTTGAATGGAGAAAATGCAAATTATGTAGGACTTTATCCAAGATCATGGACAGAATATAATATTGAAGAACAGAAACTCAGACTTATTTGCAAACAAATATCTCCAGTCATTCCTAACAATTACAAGGTGAAAAAAAAAAAAGTTTGAAAATGTTTTTGAATTAAAATAAATTTTCATTTACAAAAAAAAAAAAAAAATCCTTTTTTATTATTTCAGGATAGCTGTATTCCAGGATCAATGTTTATTTGGCATATTGAAAATCAAAGTAATGAAGTTAAAGATGTAAATATAACATTTACATTTCAAAATGGTATTGGAGAAAAGGGAGATAAAAAAAAAGGATGTTGGAGTCAAATGTTTAAAGAAAATTGTTCGAATGGAAATATATTGGGAGTTTTAATAAATCATGTTATTTCATCGATGAATTATACATTTGGTATCTCTGTTTGTGAAAAAGTAAATATTTTTACTGTTTAATTAATTATTTCTGTAAATTATACAGTCTATAAAAATTATCTATATTTAATGCATTATTTTTTTGTAATTATTAAAGCGTGTTTTTAGGCAGGAGTTCACGTTTCTTGCCTTAAAAAATGGAATCCATTAGGAAATGGAAAAGACATTTGGAATAAAATAAAAACAGGGAAATTGGAAAAATTTGATTTCGATCCTTCACATCACACAGGTAAAAATTTTTTTTTTTGTTCGACAAGTTCTGATAAAAAATGTGGTTTTTATAATTTTTCAAATTTTATTTTACTCATCATTAATTTAGCCAATGGTGAACAATTAGCAAGTGCTGTTTGTGCTCAAACTCTAATACCTGGAAAAAGTGTTTCCACACTCGAGTTTAATCTGATTTGGGATATGCCAAAAATTAATTTTCATGAAAATAAAAAGCAATATTGGAAATATTATACGAGATTTTTTGGAAAAGAAAAAAATGGACCCAAACTTTCTGCTTATTGTTTTGAAAATTATAAAAATTGGGATTTAGAAATAGACAAATGGCAAAATCCTATTTTAAATGATGATAATTTACCCTCGTGGTATAAAAGTGCACTTTTTAATGAAACCTATTTCGTATCCGATGGTGGCACAGTTTGGCTCGATTTAGACGAAGATGAAAAAAAACTTTTATCAGCAAACGATCCTAGGTAATTCAATGTATTTTTTTTTACAACGGAAAAGAATTGGTTTTGTAAGTAAAATACCTTAAATTTTAGGTGCGAATACGGTCGTTTTGCATACCTTGAAGGTCATGAGTACAGAATGTACAACACTTACGATGTTCATTTTTACGCATCATTTGCTTTAGCCATGCTATGGCCAAATCTTCAAAGTTGCGTACAAAGAGACTTTTGCGATACCGTACCTCAAGAAGATAGATCACGGCAATGGCATTTATTTAACGGTAGCATTGGATACAGAAAAGTTAAAAATTCCGTACCACATGATTTGGGAGATCCATTTGAAGAACCTTTCTTAAAAATTAACTCTTATCCAATACACGACGTTTCGGAATGGAGGGATTTAGATTTGAAATTTGTTCTTCAATCTTACAGAGATTATTTTTTAAATAATGATTTAAATCAGTTGAAGTATCTTTGGAAAAGTGTTTGCGTACTTATGAATAATGCACTTCGATGGGATAAAGATGGCGACGGCCTAATTGAAAATGTCGGCGAACCTGATCAAACGTACGACGCGTGGACCATGGAAGGCCCAAGGTACGCAAATAAATTTATAAAAAATTTGTTAAAACGCTTTTACATAGAATAAAATTATTGATATTTTTTTTTTTCAGTGCTTATTGTGGAAGTTTATGGCTTGCAGCTTTACAATGCACGTGTAAAATGGCTTTAATTCTTTCGGACGTTGACACTTACAATAAATTTTCTGAAACGTTAAAAATGGCGCAACAATCTTTTGATAAAAAACTATGGAATGGAAAATATTATAATTTCGATTGTTCTGAAAAATGGGGAACGACAATAATGTCGGATCAATTATGCGGTTTATGGTATCTTTATTGCTGTGGAATAAAAAACGAGGTAATTTCAATTTTAATCATTATTATCAAAAGTTGATTTCTCCCGATTTCTTTCCCGGATTTGTAAATGGAAAAAATAATATTTATAGGTGTTACCTCCCGCCAAAGTTAACTCTTCACTTCGTTGCATATACGAAAACAATGTTTTGAAATTAGGCAAGGGTAACTTGGGATGTGTTAACGGCATGCTTCCAAATGGTGAAATCGACATTCACACTCTTCAAAGCGAAGAAATTTGGGTCGGAGTCGTTTACGCATTGGCTTCTCTCATGATATTCGAGGTGAGAAAAAAAAAAGTCATATTAAATATTAACTTTTTTTTTAAAAAAACGAACCTAATGGTTTAATTATGTGATGTAGGGAATGGTAGAAGAGGGTTGGAAAACGGCTCGTGGAATTTACGAAACCGTATACGATCGCATCGGGATGGGTTTCGAGACTCCGGAAGCTTTGAGGGAATCAAAGAAATATCGAGCCATCGGGTACATGCGTCCTTTGTCAATTTGGTCGATGCAGTTGGCGTGGAATATGCGAAACACAAATTAAGTTAAGTTTATTTATTTATTTACTTTAATACTAATTTCTTATTTCACTTAAAAAGTTTTTAATAACCGTCTGAAAAGAAAAACTAGAAAAAAAAAGGAACTAAAGAAAAAGAAAAAAAAGATCAAAATTTATATTTAATATTATTATTTATATATAATAGTTTAACGGTTATAAAACTTTTTTTCTTTTTTTTAAGATTAACATTTTATTTATTTTGAAATTATTAAGCGAAAACTTTTAATGATTATTATTTAAATATCGATTACTATATATATATACACGCATATGATAGGCCCTGATGATTTTAGACGTTTTACTTCCCCCCCCACTCCCTCATAAAATTAAAAAAAAAAAAAAAAAAAAAAAGGGTCACATTAGAAATTATTTGTTTTATTATATTCGTTATACCAATCAACTTCTATTAATCAAAGGCCTTCCGGTATCTATTTCCACTTCTCTTTGTAATTTCGGTGGTAATTCTCTATATATGGCTTCCGGTACTTGATCTAAAAAAATTTTTTGCGAAAAAATTATTTAAATTTTTTTTTTGTTTATTTAACTTTGGTTCTTGTTTTAAATAAATTTATTTACCGTTGCATCTGTACACGAGATCGGACCAAATAATCATTTCTTGAGAAAATGAAAAAACTCCCAATCTTCCTCCTTTGAGAGTCGAATCGAAAACGTTTCCGGTATCGACAATCATTCGTTCCCCTTCGAATATTCTGAGTCTTATCAAACCGATTTTAGGTCTGTGAAGTAAAAGCCATCGATACGCGGTTTTTTCTTTCCAACCAATTTTCCTCGGGTCTTTCCAAAGCAAACGCACTTGATCTTCCGTGTCTCCCGTGTGCCAGAGAGAATTTCTCAACATTTGACCCGGTCCCGTACCCGAATGAACCAATTTGACTTGAATTCCAGGTTCTGCGACGGCTCTAAACGGTGTGGCTTGCCAATAGGTTTGAGTATTTTTTTTCCACATTACCGTGTAAAATTTGTGATTGTCTTGATAACTGACATTTTTTAATGAAAAAAGAAAAAAAAAAAAAAAGAAAAACAGGATTAAGGTTTTCGATTTCATTAAAAAAAAAAAATTTCAAATATTTTTCTTTAATACCTGAATATGAAACCGACGTAATCGTCATCGATTTCCGTGTCTACGAAAAATGTACCCTCGAAATCGACTCCACCAAATGCATCGTAACCTTTTTAAGGGGGACAAAAAGTGGTTTTTAATTGAAAATTAAAATTGATATGAGTTTATAAAAAATTTATTTACGGTGGCCTCACCTACAGCTAAACCTGGATCACTATTCATCGTTTGTACAATTTCGGCACCTCTATTATATATAACCCAATTGGGATCTATTTGTGAATCTCCTTCCGGATCCAAAACAACAGTTTGATAAGTTCTGTAAAAAAAAATCAGGTTCTTTAAAAGGAAATTTTTTTTAATTTTCCAAAGCAGTCACAAGATTTGGTTTTTTTTTTTTTTAATAACCTGAAATCCGTGGAAAATATTTTAGAATTATTAGGGCAGTTGTCTAAATAATTTGGAACCTTATCCAAATCGAAATCATCTTGACAAATGTCTCCTATTCCATCACCTGAAACGAAATATTAATTTAAATATTTTTCCCCTCCCCTCCCCTCCCCCTTTCTTTAAATTTATTATTTAAATAAAAAAAATACCATCTAAATCTTCTTGATTTGGATTATAAGCGTAGGGACAATTATCTCTTTGATTTAGTACGCCATCTCCGTCGCAATCGCTGTCGCATTCATCTCCTCTACCATCTCCATCTGTATCTAATTGATCGCTGTTGGGGACTCTGGGACAATTGTCGACCGAGTCTTGGATACCGTCTCTGTTAATTTTAAAGTTAGTTGTAGGCTGCCAACGATCGGAATATAATAATAATAATAATATTTTATTGAAAATTTACCTGTCGCGATCGATATCGCTGTCGCAAGCATCTCCAATCAAATCGTTATCGCTATCAAATTGATTAGAATTTGCAACGAGAGGACAGTTGTCGCAAACATCTCCCAATCCATCCCGATCTCTATCCCTTTGATCCGGATTTGGATTTTTGGGACAATTATCACGTCCGTTGGGAATACCTTTAAATTTATATCGATTAATTGTATTTACAAGAAAAACCCGATTATTTTGTAAAATCCAGGTGAAAAGAAAATTTTTAACCATCGTTATCAATATCGTCATCGCAAGCATCCCCTATTCCATCCTTGTCGACATCCTCTTGATCTAAATTAGGTATGGTAGGGCAATTGTCGCAAGCGTCACCCTGTTTATCCGCTCCATCCATATCACTGTCTAACTGATCCGGATTAGGTACCAAAGGACAATTATCGGGACTGTTGAGAATTCCATCGTTGTCTGCATCAGGATCGCAAGCGTCACCAATACGATCTCCGTCGGCATCTTCTTGTCCGGAATTGGGAATGCTGATACAATTATCCTTAAAAAAAAAAAAAAAAACAAACAATATAGTAGGGCATTCGGGACGAAAATTAGTGATAATGATGATAATGTACTTACTTGTCTGCACCTTGCATCGGAACAACCTAAATCTTGATCGGGATATCCATCCAAATCTCTATCCAAACCGCACATTCTTCCATCTCCAGCGAAACCCACTTTACACTAAAAAAAATTTTCCCTGACATTATTAAAGAATTCAGGTTTTTCAATTAGATTTTCCGTTTTATGTGTCGTACCTTGCACGCATAACTATTATATCGATTTTGTTTATAACATTCTGCATTCGTATCGCATTGCGTACCGTCGGGGCATAATCCCGGTGAATTTCGACATCCGTGAGTTTGATTTCCTACATATCCCGACATACAACTTCCGCACACGTAAGAACCCTAAAATAATTAACGATTATTATTATTATTATTATTATTATTCACAAAATTTAAACGGAAACTTTTTTTTTATATTTACTTCGGTATTTGTGCAAATAGAATTAGGGGCGCATCCACCGTTTCGTCCGTCCGAACATTCGTCAATATCGTAACATCTTTGCCTGTTTCTAGCAGCTTCTTCTAATCCCACCCCTTGAAAACCGCTACTTCCGGTAAATCCGGGTGGACACGGGTCACATCTAAAACCGGGCGATAAATTTGTACATCGGACTCGGGGATCGCAAGGCTCTGCCAAATCGCACTAAAAAAACATATTAATTAATAAAAAACTTATTTTTTGACATTTTCAATTCCGACGGGATGAAAAAAAAATAATAATAATAATAATTTTTTGTTTTTTTAAATAATAATTTGATCGATAATAATAATAATGATAATAAATATGATGATTGGGAGGAATAAAATAAGAAAATAAAAAACATTTTATATCCTTTTATATCAAATAAAATTTATCCGTATATTAAAAAAAATTATTTAAAAAAAAAAAAGAAACTACAGAAAAAAAGTTTTTTAATCACTCACTTAGTAGAAAAAAAACTAATAGTAATAATAATAATAATAATAATAGTAATAATAATAATAGTAGTAAAATTATTTTCTTAAAATATTCCTCCCTTTTGATAAATTAAATCTTATTATTATTTATTTATTGGTATAAAAATTAAAACACGGAAACGGTTGCGTTAATAATTATAATAATAATAATAATAATAATGATAAGATTTATTTGTTGTTATACAGGTAATTTGTTGTTAGGTAAAAAAAAAATTTTAAAATTTAAGGAATCGTTTTCGTGTAAATAAGATTTAATTATATCAATGGGGTGTAAATCTCACAAGTTTTTTTTTTTTTTTTTTTTATCTTCTTCGGAAAATTTCACAACCCGATCAAGGTATAATTACCATCCTAAAAAAAAAGAAAGAAAAAAAAATTAAGTTTAAAATAATTTTTTTTCCTTTACCTCATCTAAATCGTGACAAGAAGTTCCATTTCCTGTTGATCCCGGTGGACAACTTCCGCATCTGTAATGCGGTGGTTCTTCAATATCCGTACAATGAACTCCTAAAATTAATCTTTTCATTTAAATAAAATGAGATTTAAGGGAAAAAATAAATATTCGGCGGCGTCGTCGTCGTCGTCGTCATTTTTCTGTACCTGGATGACAAGGATTTTGTTCGCATATACCCCTCGGATTACATCTTTTTCCATCGCCGACATAACCGTTCGGACATGGACCGCATTGATGTCCTTCTATGGTGTCGTAACAACGAACACCCGGATAACAGGGTCTATCCTCGCACGTTATACCTGGTTTACAATTTCTACCGTCACCCACGTATCCGCGAGGGCATCGTCCACATTGTGGTCCATCCGGAGTATCCCTACATTCGGCACCGGGAAAACAGGGAGACGAAGGACTCTTACATGAATATCTTATTTGGGATTCTATTTGTGGCCCTGAGTTATCACGTTTAAAAAATATTAATTTATATCAATACCACCAAACCTCCAAATGTTGTTGTTACCTTCACACGTGATCAAAAAACCTCGTTTCGTCAAATAATAATAATAATAATAATAATAATGATAATAAAACTTATGTGTAAAAAAATAATTGATAACTTACTTGCGCATAAATCGCATCTTTCCAAAATCCCTCGAAGGTAGCGGATTTCACCTCTCTGAAAAAATTTAATTAGCGCAAACGGATTAAAAACAATTAAAATAATTTAACATAATAATAATAGTAATAATAATGATAATAGTACCTGATGTTCGATATCCTGTCTCAATTGTTTTATGAGTTCGATAAGAGCGTTGACAGTTTTTGCAAGGAGACTATCTGAAAATTTAAAGTAATTTTTTTAATTAAAAGGGAGGGAAGGGAGGGGGGAAGATGATAAATTAATTAGTGATACCTGGATCGCTGCAATCGTGAAAAACAGGTATATCTCCTCTTCTGTAGGCTGCCACATCGTTCGAATTGGGTTGTTGAGCTTGCATTTCCGTATCCAAACAATTATTTTTATCTAAAATGACATCCAAACTTTCTTTGTGTTCAATATTTAAAAAATAATGTTTTTCTCGAAACTAAAAAAAAAAAAAACATGGCGGGATTTAATAAATAATCAGTTATTTATTTAACAAAAAAAAGAAAAGTTTTTTTTTTTTCCTTACGACTTGCAATTGTAAATTTTTTTTTTTATCAAAAATATTTTTAAAATTATTTGATATGTTTAAAGTTCCTTTTTTAACACAATCATGATATAAAGTCACACGACTTTCATTCGAATTCGATTCTTGATTTATAGCAAATAAAAGATTTTTTATAACGGTTTTCGAATCCACGTTATTATTCAATGAAAAATGTTCGCTTTTAGTTATTCCATCTTTTCCAGTTTCGATAATGACTAGAAAAAAAAATTAAAACCTTGAAAGAAAAATTTTCTTCTTCTTTTCCTCCATTTTTTTTTTTTTTTTTTACCCTTTTTAGATTTTCTATCGAGTAAAATAACAAATTTTTCATCGGTTTTTATAAAATCAACGACTAATAACATTTCCAAACCGTTTCTTATTCTATGTTTTGGTTTTATATCTTTCATTTCAATAACGAATTCATTTTCTCTAATGGCTTCCTCTAATTCTTTACTCAAACCTACAAATAAATAAAAAATAAAAAAAATTTTTTTTTTTAATAATTAAAACGGATACGGATCGTTAACGTAATTTGATGATATTCACATTTGGAATAAATATTTTTTAAATTTTAATTTTTCTTATCTCAAATCTTATATTTAAACGTGTCAAGGTATTACCCAATAATAATAATAATAATAATAATAATAATAATAATAATAATAATAATAATAATAATAATAATTTTTTAAAATCTTACACACGTGCAAACACGTAGAAAAACAACGACGACGACAAAACATTTCCAAATATTTCACCCACACATCGAATTTTAAATCGATTATTTAACGTTTTTTATTATTATTATTATTATTATTATTATTTGAAATCTTTAAATGGGAATCTGCCCACTGAAATCTAATATTATCAACGAATAATAATAATAATCATTAAAGAAAAAAAAATTTTACGACGTTAAGGAGGGAAAGGAATCAATTCATTGACACTTTCGACATACCCATTCCAAAGTGATTAAAAAAAAAAAAATTATTATTATTATTATTATCATTAGTGATTATCAGTCGATATTATAGAATAATTTGAAATTATGCACGTGCACACGCACACGCACATGCACACGCACAAAAGGAAAGGGAAGGGGGAAAACGTAAAGCTCACATCTCCATATTTAAAAAATAATTAAAAAATTAAGGTAATGGTAGTAAAAGGAATGATTCGAATGAATGAATGAATGAATGATAGAATGAATGAATGAATGAAGTATTAAATAAGATATTTTTATTAAAAAGGTGTAGTAGAGTCCCGTATATGAAAATATATGCGGAGGCGAAAAAATTTTTACATAAATTAGACTATTTTAATAGGTTTTGTATTAAATAAAAAAAAAAAAAAACAGGTTAAACATAAAAAAAAAAATTGTTTAGGCGTGAATGACATTGTAAAAAAATCTATACAATTTAAGTAATAAAATGATTGTAGAAAAAATAATGATAATAATAATAATAATAATAATAATAATAATAATAATTTTATTATTTAAGTAATCTCCCTAATCGGGTAAATAAATAAGTAAAAGTTGTAGCGATGGAGAAATTAATTGAACATTTTGTAATCATTTATTAATTAATAAATTTATCATTTAATTTTTTTTTTAATAAGTTTAAAGTATTAGGTAATTATTATTATTATTATGATTCTTATCTATTATCGGTTATTTTTTCCCCTAAAAAAAAATTTATTTAAATAAAAATTTTAAAAAATGAGGCCTCTAAATATAAGAACAAGATTTGAAATTTAAAAGGATTGTAGTAGTTTTAGTAGTTGTAGTTTTAGCAGTAGTTTTAGTAGTAGTAGTAATAGTAAAATTCGTTTGAAAGTAAAAATAAAAAAATTAAATTGATAAGAAAAAAAGTAAATAAATAAATAAACTTACTGATATCAGCAGATACGGTTGATGACATGCCAAATTCAGCGGCCATAACCATCAATGTAAAAAAAAATAAATAAAAAATCTTCGTCATTTTTTCTTATTTATTTAATATCTTTTAAATTTAAAATAATTTTAATTCATTTTATTTTTAAATCGTATATTAAATAATTGATATTATTATTATTATTATTAAATATCGAATAATTAATTAATAATCTTGAGTAAAAAAAAAGAAAAAAAAAAAAAAGGAGAAAATTAACCGTTTTGTTTCCTATCCAAACTTACTCCTCCGACTGAAAAGAATGGTTTATCATATAAAATCATTGGATAAATAACGCCTACAGAAAATTTTACTTAGGCTCGCGTATTGCAGCATTTTTATTTATTTTTTTATATAAATAAAAGAGTAGGCTTAAAGGGATTGGCTTTGGTGTCACGTAAAAAAAAAAAAAAAAAAAAAAAAAAGCAATAAAGGAAGGCAAAAACTGATTCACACCATTACCACCACCACCATCACCATCATCATTATCACTATTAACACTTTAGTATCGGCGCCTCCGTAAATTTTTTTTTTTTTTTTTTTTAATTTTAATTCGATACCAAAATTGGCATTTTAAAAAACAACAACAACAACAACAACAAAATCATTTTTACTTCTAAGAATTCATAATTAGTAGTAAAATAAAAAATTTTATGAATGAGGTTCAAGTCTAAGACTAAAAAAAAAATTTAATTAATCATTTATTTATTTTTTTATTAAAAATTTATTTTTAATTTAATTAATAAAATGAGCTTTTAACATTATTTAATAATAATAATAATAATAAATTCACACAACCATAATATTATAATTATAAATTTTATATTAAAAAAATGAATTTTTCTATGGGAAAAAGTCTTTGGAACAATAATGTTTTTTTTTGTAAATTTTTACAATAATAATAATAATAATAAATAATATTTCAAATTTAAGTAAATATATTAGATATTAAATAAATAGTAATATATTTTTTTAAATATTTGAGTTTAAAAGTATAAAATGATTTTCAAAATGAATATATTTTAAATAATTTATCGTGTGGTTTAATGTCGATAACTTATTATTATTATTATTAATGAATTTAACAGGTTTTAAAATTTAAGTACTTTTAACAGTTTATGATGATGTAATGAAAAATATTTATATTTAAATATTATTTGGAAAACATTCGGTTTCACCTTTTATTTTCCATGTTCACTGCACTGCCATTCGGGAATTCCACAATCGCAAACCTGATTTGCTTCTTTCAATTGATAAATGATGACGACACCATTGGCATCATCAAATTTACAAGTAACGTGAACATCTTTAATTAAAAATGTGTAAAATTGATTTCCTAATTTTTGTTTTAAATATACAGATCTTGGATCCTCTTCAACAATATTTATAATAGCATTTTTTAATTGTTCCGAGTGATTCATCATATTTAATTGAGATAATCCTCTTTTGGTAAATTCAACTTTTAATTTTCCTCTCGCTGAATTTGTTATCCACGATGGGATTTTTATGTTGTCTTCTTCTCCATCGGGAGCTTCTCTATTTTCCGATTTCTTTTCCTTGTCTTTAACTTGGTGATTTAAAACCAATAATGAATCCTTGTCTGCAGCTCCACCTTCAACTTTTCTTTCTTTATGATCTCCCATTAATGTAGGATTATCATAAAAGGGAATGTAGGGTTTTATATCTAAGACTGGAGTTCCATTTAACATATCAACTCCAGAAAAATATATTTTATTTTCTAAAATTAAAAAAAAAATTATTGTAATGTAATTTTTTTTTTGCAAACAGAAATTTTATGTTTGATTTATATTAATAACACACACCTGAAATTTTATCTATTTTAACAACAGACAAACCGATTGGGCAAGGTCTATGAGGAGATCTACTACTAAACACTCCAACCTTTTCGCCATTTAATTTAGGAGGGGCTATTTTGGTTCTAACATGATTTGAATCAGTTTTATGAAAATGATATATAATCCACATATGAGAAAACTCTTCTAATCCATCGAGAGCATATGATGGATTATTAACTACAGAGGAATGAAGTATTAAAATTCCTTTACTATCAGAACATAATGTACCCTGTCTGGGTATCCCTCGTTTTTCAGGAAACCAACTTTCAATAATTCCTATCGTTTGAAAATTTTTAAATTCACAATTACATTTTTCTTTTACTGAATCAAGTAAACAATTTTGACATTTCATACTTTTTAGGACATTTTGAATTTCATCAACATCATTTTTATGAGTGTATTTTAAATTAATTATTTGCTGCCTAAAAAAAAAAAAAAAATAAAAATGGAAAAAAAATAAAACAAAATTAAATAATTGGATTAGACAAATTTTCTTTTAGAAAAGACTAAATGAAAATATATATAACCTCAAATTCTTTATTTCACTTCTGGCTATCGTTAATTGATGTTGAAGTTTTTGAATTAATTCATTTTCGGAATTTTTTTCGACCATTTTTTTAAAAAATAAAATTATAATAATAAAATCACGTTATGATTGTAAACGGAAGTTTTTTTTTTTCATATTATTTTTAATATTTTTTATTAAATACGAAAAAAACTTTAATTAAGTTTAACGTTTTTTACTCTCTGTCCATAGAGTAATAATTTTTTTTGAATATTGGCGATCGATATACCGGATGTAGAGTGATGAGTAAAGAAAAAACTTTAAATATTTTAATTTAAATGAATGTATATTTAGGTAAAAAATGTATCTTTTACATCGTGTAAACATTACAAAACTTCATATAAGAAAATATTGAAATAAATTTTGGTAAACACTTAAAAAAAATACTTACCCCATAGTTTTGTGTAGGAAAATATAGTTTTAAAATATCACTGACATTCTTATTTTATGTAGCTATTCCCACTGAATATAAGTTTTATGAGAGCAATAATTGACATTTTTACTGATGAGTTTTTTTTTTTTTTTTTTTAAACTGTTGGGTTTTTTCATTTTAATTCTCTTCTCCATTCAGGAATCATTCTTTGAAAGTAAAAAAAAATGATTAATACTTTGGATCATAATAAAATTACCAAATGTAATTTTTAAAAACTTACAAATGAGGTATTTTATTCAAGTCAATCAATTGATTTGGTTTTTCTTTTTTTTCTTCAGGCAAACAATGTAGAGTCCATATAGCAGTTGGCTTAAATACTCTATCAGGATCTCTTGGAAGTAAAAAGTCAAAAGAAGGTTTGTTAAGGTTTAATTTTTCCATTTTACTTTTACTTTTTAATTCTGCTCGCAGTTGATTATTTTTTTTTCTTTCGAGAAACTTGATGTCTTGTAATCTTTTTAAAAAAAATTATGATTATTCTTTAGAATAATAATATTGAATAATAATTGGCTAATCATAAAATTTACCTAAAAGATTCTAGTAAAATATGATTTTTTGTTTTGTCAAATTTTTGAAAATTTTTTTTTTGTTGATTTAGTAAATCGTCTTGAATTTTATTTAATTTTTCCGCTTTATATTGATCTACAGCAATTTTTTTCTTTTTATTCATTTCTCTAATTTTTATTTTTTCCTTGTTAAGAATTTTTTTTTCTTGTTTCATTCTTTCCTCTTCTTCTAATTTTTTGCATAATTGTTGCTTCTAAAAAATATTTGAAAATATTCTTTAAAAATTTATTAATAAAAATTATTTTTCTTTTATAAATTTGTATTCGTTTTACATAACTTAAAAATAATTTACCTTCCATTCTTTGATTCTTTCTGCTATTTTTAACTGATTTGCCAAAACTTTATTTGATTTTTTTTTATCGTTTTCCTCATTATTTTTCCTTTCAAGATTACCATTGTTGTTTTCTTTAGCTACTTTTTCTTCTTTCCATTTTTGAATTGCATCTTTTAATGAGTTTTTAAGGGTTTCATATTTAACATACCAATTTTCATGTCTTACAAGGTCATCATAACTTAAATCTAATGTTAAAAATATTATTTAACGAAAAATAATTTATTATAATTTGTAGTACAAGTTACATTTTTTTAAATAAAAACCTGGCAAAATATGTTGCAATGAATCTAAAAATTTTTCCTTATCCTTGTACTTTTTTCTTTCTCTTAAAAATAATAAATGATCATGTTCCAACCATCCACCTGTATGACCTCCATTATGTAATAAAAAATTTTGAAATTCATTCGAGGGATTTTTATTTCTGTTTTGAATTTTATATGTATTCGGTCTCGACTGTTTAAGTAATTGAATATTGACAGGTTTTTCCCATTCCTGTAATTTTTTTTCTACTGCTTTGATATCATTATATAATACTGTTTCATCATCTAAAACTTTAAGGAGCCTAAAATTTTTTTTTTTACTTTTATTACTTGTTTTCATTTGTTTTTAAAAAATTGCATTTAAATTCTTTTTAACTCACTCATTTTTAATTTCTGTTTTTAAATTGAATATTTTCTTTTTTACTTCTACAAGTTTTTTTTGAAATATATTTACATTAAAAG